CCATTACTTTTTCTTGTAGTTTCAATGGAACTTATACTCATGTGTGATTTTTAACATCCTGTGTAGGTCATTTGAAAGATACTGATTTACTGAGCTGCACAGATCCTCCCAATGTTAACACATTTCAGTAAACAACATACATTTTTAAAATAACACATGTTAATATCATCCTGAGCTTACTATAACAGTCTAAGAATTTAGAAAGCTGTCAAGATCACGGTGTAAGTTTTTCAAAACTCTAATTTTTGCTTGAAAACAAAAATTTTATCACTGGTAACAAATAGTTGTTTTCCTCAATGTCACAGCCTCACTTCTTTCTCTTTTGAGAAAATGTCTACCAAATATCCAACTCTGAACAGTATGTCTGCCAGCTGTTCTTTCAAGTAAAGCTGGCCTTCCATGAAAAAAAAGTGTTTAGTCCAGCTTGCAACTCAACTGTATAGTGCTTTTCTCAAGACAAGACATCGTGTCTAGGTGTGCAGCAGCAGGGCTAACATGCCCCTCCTGGGTCTTCATGTCAGATATTTTTCACAGATTCATCAAGGCCTTTCTTCTGTAAAATGGCATTTTTTTTGTGTGTGAGCACAGGGGTGAAGAACACAGTGATGTCTAGTACAACTTCATGCCACTGTCCTGATTTGTGCTAAGGTGTCAGCAGTTCTATTAGTGGAAAAGGCAAATAACATTTTTTTTTTTTTTTTGAGACAGTCTCGCTCTGTTTCCCAGGCTGGAGTGCAGTGGCGCGATCTCAGCTCAGTGCAACCTCTGCCTCCTGGGTTCAAGTGATTCTTGTGCCTCAGCCTCCTGGGTATCTGGGACTACAAGTGCGGGCACCACCATGCTTGGCTAATTTTTGTATTTTTAGTTGAAACCGGGTGTCGCCATGTTGGCCAGGCTGGTCTCGAACTCTTGGCCTCAAGCGATCCACCCGCCTCAGGCAAATAACAAAACATTATCAGATGAGTTCTGATGTCACGGACCTTTGAAATGGTCATGGGGACCTACAGAGGTCCAAGAACTACACTTTGAGAATGGCTGTTCTAAGATACCTTCATCCTGAGGCTCTCCATTGATCCAGTGGGAATCTGCAGGAAAGCAACAGGCACAGATGAAAATGAGCATTTAATGCGCTACTCCCATGCAGGGCTTGTCTCAGGGAAAGTTCTCTAAAGATGATTATTATATGAAAAAATTGGTATTAAGCATGATGAAGCGATCCATACATATTCTTAATAATTGGCTTTGTGGTTATAATGCTCTTACTATTAACCAAGTATAAGTAAGCTTTAAAAAAAATTGAAAAATTTTTAATTTTTTTTTTGAGACAAGGCCTTGCTCTGTTGCCCAGGCTAGAATGCAGAGGGGCAAACATGGCTCTCCACGCAGCCTAGACCTCCTGGGCTCAAGTGATCCTCCTGCCTCAGCCCACTGAGTAGCTAGGATCACAGGCACATGCCACTAAATTTGGCTAATTTTTAAATTTTTTTGTAAAGATAAGAGTCTCATCCTGTTGCCCAGGCTGGTCTCAAATTCCTGGGCTCAACTGATCCTCCTACCTCAGTCTCCCAAAGCACTGCAATTACAGGTGTGAGTCACCACACCCGGCCTGTATGTAAGTAAACTTAATTTTGAATCTTGATTGGGAAAGAGAAAGACTTTTCACCTATAAAACTTATACAAGTTTTCACTTATAAAACTAATTAAGCTACATTAAAATTTTTCTATATTAGTATTAACAACAGAAAATTTATCTACAGAAGCCTGAGATCCTATCTAAATTTCAGAAATCTAAGTGGCTCTAGAGGCTGAGGCAAGGGATTGTTTAAGCCCAGCAGCTCAAGAGAGCTTGGGCAACATAGTGAGACCCCATCTTATTTTAAAAAAAGAAAGGAAGGTAGAAATAAAAAAAAAATCTAAGTAAGACAGCTGGGCGTGGTGGCTCACACCTGAAACTCCAGCACTTTGGGAGGCTGAGGTGGGCGGATCACCTGAGGTCAGGAGTTTGAGACCAGCCTGGCTAACATGGTGAAACCCTGACTGCACTAAAAACACAAAAATTAGCCAAGCATGGTGGCAGGTGCCTATAATCCCAGCTACTCAGGAGCCTGAGGCAGGAGAATTGCTTGAACCCAGGAGGCATAGGTTGCAATGAGCCGAGATAGCACCCCTGAACTCTAGCCTGGGCGATAGAGCAAGGCTCTGTCTCCAAAAAAATAAAAATAAAAATAAAAAAATAAATCTAAGACTTACTTATTCTAATATATTACAAGCAGAATTATGAAAACTCACCAGAATCTAACGAATTCTCACTTTACAAAGTACAGGAAGTGAGGAAATAGTGGCCTACCAAATTGGAAATCACAGACTCATATCAGATGTGCCAAATACTGTGACCATAAAAGCAGAATTTGATTCTAAAGATGAACACTGAGAAGGTAAAAACTGCATACAGGACTTGATTCTGACTGGCATGAAAGTTCAACAATTAACATACTAGTATTTGTTAATAATCATCAAGCATCTGTATATCTATGCTATTTTAGATGATTTTCTAGCCATTAAAAGTTTTTTTTTTTTTTTTTTTTTTTTTGAGACAGAGTCTGACTTTATCGGCCAAACTGGAGTGCAATGGCGTGATCTTGGCTCACTGCAACTTCTGTCTCCCCGTTTCAAGCAATTATCTTGCCTCAGTCTCCTGAGTAGCTGGGATTATAGGTGCCCGCCACCACGGCTGGCTGATTTTTGGATATTAATAGAGACGGGGTTTCACCATGTTGGCCAGGCTGGTCTTAAATTCTTGACCTCAGGTGACCCGCCCGCCTCGGCCTCCCAAAGTGCTGGGATTACAGGGGTGAGCCACCATGCCCGGTCACCATTAAAACTTTTAATCTGGGGGTTGCCAAATATTTTCTTTAAAGGTCAAAGAGTAAATATTTTAAATTGTGTAGGCTATACTGTCTCTGTCACAACTGCTCATTTACACCTGTGTAGGGTGAAAGCAGCTGTGTATAATACACAAATAAATGGGTGTGTTCCAATAAAACTGTGTTTCAATAAAACTTTAATTAACAAAAACACAGCGGGCTATAGTTTCCTTATCTGTTTAATAAATAAACCTTTGTGTAGAGTGCAACAATGTGCTTATAGAAAAGAATCTCAAAATATGTATTTTGAAAATACCTTAAAAAAAAAGAAGTGTTAAGGATATTTAAATATTTAAGCCAAACTAGTCTTTGTACTCTGAAACCAAAAAAGAAGTTGAGAAGCCTCATCACCGCTGCCCATGAACCTAATTTAGAAAATCAGTCATATTAAGCTCATTAAAAATCCAGCAGATTGGGATATAGACATATGTGTAGCTGAAGAGTTGATTTAATCCTGTGAGTTTTAGGGAAGTGTTGCATTCTTTGGTGCTCATTACCAAATACTTATGTTCCTTTGCACTTGTGTACTAAATAAAGTGCTGGACAGTGAATTATCTTCTAACATCCCCACCCAAGAGGTAGGGAATACAAATAGTCATTTTGCAAATGAGGAATGTGAGATCTGGAGTAGGTAGGTGACCTGCTCAGTCATCAGACTGTAAATAGCAGACCCCTATGTGAATGAATCCACTTGACTTCAAGGCCTGAGAAGTTAATGATAAGATTCTCCCAACTCTCAGTACTGGACTATTCTGCAGTAGTAAACAAATTTAAAAATAGGCAAACTTGTAAACAGAACATGGAGGGCCTCAGATGCTGGGATGTGGGGTACATGTTTGTTTTTTCCTGTGGGTAACTAAGGATTTCCTGTTGTTGTTAAGCTGGGAATGACAGAGAAACATCAGGTGTTCCCACTGCCTCGTTCAATGTAACACCCATCAGACAGGTATGTGTTTCTTCTCTGGGCCTCGGTCCTTCTCTCTGTAGAAGGGGCTGGTCTGAGGCACCCTCTGTCTCTAAACATCTGCATAATTGTGTTAATCACATTTTCACTTTCAATGTATGTTTAATGTTACAGAGTTCAAAATGACGACCAAGAAAATAAAAGTTTTCAGCCTTCAAGATAAAAAAAATTGGTATATTTAAACAGTACTTTGTCTTATCAAATTTCTGAATACTTTTCATAAAAAAATGAATTATCAAAGTTTCTTAATATATTTTTTAACTAATCAAATATCAAATGGTGGTAGTTAATAACTACTGACTACAAAAAATCCTATTATCTATTAACTTTCGAGAAAAAGAACAGAATTGGAGTATTCATGGCAAGTAACCCAGTGTGTGAAAATAGCATCCTATCAAAAGCCAATGGTATATAAAGACTTATTAATCTAGGGAAAGTGTCACTCTGTCTAAAACCCCCAGCCATGGCATGGCCCAGCAGCTGTAAAAGGGCCGGGCTGACCTCTCTGAGGCAGGAGAGGGCACCAGTAAAGGATATGAACATAAGTGGGCAAGTAGGGTCTAAGGATGCTGCTGGAAGATCTTATTAAGGAAACAAAAGCAACTGCAATGTGCTCTCTTTCCCAACAAACAACCCAGCCACCAGCTACGAAAAGAAAAAGGCAAAAAATGTGCAGAGTTCTCAACAAAACCAAACAAAGGAATATGGTCAGGTGGAAACAGACTCATTTTTAAATAAAGCAAAATGCAAAGCATCTGTGACCTAGTTTAGTATTTTAATCCAGACTTGATCATTAGGGAGATCTCTGACAACCAACAAAGGAAAAACCTCCTCCAAGTTAGGGCAGCATAGGAAAAGCATTTTAAGATGACATCTAATCCAACTGCTCATGGCTTCAAAGAACCCCTACTTGAAATACAAATGAGGAAAGTGAGTGCACATGAGGGTAATAAGAGAAGACAAGCAAAAAGGAAACAATTAGTTGGTGTTACAACTATTACTCTTAGAATAACCTGATATTTGATTTTCTCCTCATAGAAAACAGTTGCCTAATTGTAAATCTCAAAAGTTAGTAAAAGCAACCCCAGAGTTGGGGTGAGGACTGTAGCTACCTTGGGTGGCGCTTCATCAGACCCTCCGGAGTCCCAGGACACTGTGGCCTGTCTTCTGGACTCCATCCTCATGCGTTCTTCTTGCTGAGCCTTCTCTTCCTCCAGGATTGTGCTAGAGAGACAACACATTGTCTTAGGGGAGCTGACAACCCAGAGTTAGCACACACGAGACCCCACCCTGAGTTATCTAAGGAACACCAGTTGGCTAACAGTACATGATAACAATAAAGAAAGGATCCTAGACACAGGGGAAAGAAGGATCAGGTTTCTAAGTCTTCACGAAATGATTCTAGAATAGCCTTGGTCCAAATGGGCAAGTCCATTTAAAGCACAGCCATAGGTAAGAAAAAGACAGCTGGTAAGAAAAAGAAGTTGCAGAAAATGAAGGACGGGCCAAGATGAAATGTTTGCAAGCCAAAGTTGATCTTGAGCAGAACAGAATTCCTCTGAGAAATCCCACGCAGCACTTTTATCAAGCATATACATGTCTGAGGACAGATTCTTTTCACACATAATGTGATCACACCAGCACTTACGTGATCAATTAGCAATCTGGCCAATAATCTCCCTAAATTGCTCAATACAATCTTCCTATCGTTCAGCTTAACCGGTGCTTTATCTGATCAGGAAAATAAGCAAAAACGCGACAGTATTTACAAGTGCTTCTGAAAATACTCCTTGCTTTAAGCTGGACACCCCATAGTTGGTAACACTGCTACTTACCACTGCTTGACTACTCAGAAGCTATCTGAAGTCCCATATAATGCTGCAGCCGCTGGAGCCTCTGCAGCGACTGCTAGGCAGCTTCTTCATCTTGGCTGTTTGCCATCACATAAACCCCTCAGAATGCAGCCAAAGCGAGACTTTGCTAGTTTCCCATTCCATGCAGATGCCCCAGGGCTCAGCAGGCAGCAGTTTGAAACCCTTGTCTTAACTGTGGCAAACAGCTCTTCCTACATTCCTACAACTCTAGAGTTCTAATAATGACACTCATTCAAAGTTTCTAGGCTCCTGGTAGATAGTATGCAGTAAACCACCACCCAGAAATTACTCAGGAAAGAGTGACATCAGTGCACCAGACTTTCTAATCTGGGAATTTGCTGTTTAAAAAGACATTCCTGCTTGGCTGGAGGCTAAGAGTGTGCTGTTTCTCACACAACTCAACTTACACAGTCACCTTCTGAGTCAGGAAAAGAGACAAAATTCATTTCATAACTGCCCCAAGTCAGCAAACCATCACTACAGATGGTAAGACTTTTTTCGTCCCCCAAACAAAAGGGAATGTCTGCCTCAAGAAATGATCATATCAGGGCCACGTGTGGTGGCTCACGTCTGTAATCCCAGAACTTTGGGAGGCCGAGGTGGGCAGATCACAACGTCAGGAGTTCAAGACCAGCCTGGCCAAAATAGTGAAACACCGTCTCTACTAAAAATACAAAAATGAGCTGGGTGTGGTGGTGCATGCCTGTAGTTCCAGCCACTCAGGAGGCTGAGGCAGGAGAATCGCCTGAACCTGGGAGGCGGAGGTTGTGGTGAGCCGAGATCGCGCCACTGCACTCCAGCCTGGGCAACAGAATAAGACTCCACCTCAAAAAAAAAAAAAAAAAAAAAAAAAAAAAAAAAAAAAAATCACATAAGCATTTTACATAAAAAGCTTTTAGTCAAAAGTCCCACTCCATTCTCAAGATATGGTTTTGGTTTCTTTCTTGCTCCAGTTAGATGATCGTGGCTCAGCAAAACCACAAAACTTTTCACAGTATTTAAGAACTGTGCAGCAGCCTTGACAGGCAAGATGCTCATTGGGTGCCAGCACTGTTGGGAACCTGGTCCCATGTGCCAGGCCCAGGGGACTCCTGGTGAGTGGTGCAGGGAAGTTTGGGGACAGGTCTGGGGAAGGAGCACAGGGGTCCTGAGAGGGCCACTCTCTCTGCCCTGCCCCTCTGATCAGAAGAACGCTCCCCTCAGCTGCTGGGAGGATTAAAGGAGATCATGGCTGTGAGAGCATCTGCTATAAGCATTACTTGTCATCAGTGGGCATTTCTAATGGCATTTACTTGAGGGCTGCTCATTCAGCAAGTATTTGCTAACTTTGCTAATTTGCTCTGTGCAAGAGGCACGTGACAAGGTCTTTGAGGTGCTTTGTCTAAGAGAAAAGAAATACTCAAAACCTTGAAACAGGGTCAGGCAAGTTGGCTTATGCCTGTAATCCCAGCATTCTGGGAGGCTGAGGTGGGAGGATCATTTGAGTATGGGAGGTGGAGGCTGCAGTCAGTCAAAATAGCACCACTGCACTCCAGTCTGGGTGACAGAGCGAGACTTGTCTCCAAAATAAATAAATAAATGAATACATACATACATACAATAACAACAACAACAAAACACACTGAAACAGGACATGAGTGTTGTGACTGAGCAGTAGAGAAGAGCTTGGCCTGGTGCGTTCTAGCTGCAGAACTCAGCGGGAGAGGGCACTGCCCCAGGCACTGGGGGTGGTTAGGGAGGAAGAGTCCCAGCGTCTCAGCAGGTTACAGTTACAGACTCACACCAAGCACATAATGTTTGTGTACTTTTGGTCATGTAACGAGCATTACATGTCCAAAGCATAGCAATGGTTTCTGTCCATTTCTTATGTGAAAACAAACACCTTTATATTTCAATTTTCCTTATATATTTTAATTTATGACTTAAACACCTTTTGTTATACTTTGAATGAAACAGTGCCTGCACATAGCTGACACTTAAATATTTGCTAAATGAACAAATACTGTATATGGATAAAATACATGCATTATCATTACCTATTAGATGTTTAACTAAGCTGAGTAAATTCAGGGATCATTAGTGGTTAAAAAAAAAAAACTGAATGGGAAAACAATAAGGCTCAATCAAACTCAAGGAGTTTGAGTCACACGGAGATCAGGTTTAAATTCTGCCACAGACAGACCATGGACAACTCTGTCCCTCCAAGCCTCATCCACAAAATGGGGTGCCTCCCTAACTACCTATCTTGAAGGGTTGTTGTGAAGAAGATCTAAATGAAAATTAGGCAGCTTATGTGACGAGCTCTGAAATGCAAGAGACTTTTAAAAATCGAAAGAACTATTAGAAATTCCCCATCAGATAATAACCTGTGTAGCTAATGGCTACCATTCCCACAAAGAGCTATGAGTCTTTTTCTTTTCTTTCTTTTTTGTTTTTGGGGCGGAGTCTTGCTCTGTTGAATGGGCTGAAGTGCAGTGGCGCGATTTCAGCTCACTGCAACCTCTACCTGCCAGGTTCAAGCAATTCTCCTGCCTCAGTCTCCCAAGTAGCTGGGACTACAGGTGCACGTGCCACCATGCCTGGCTAATTTTTTGTATTTTTAGTAGAGATGGGATTTTACCATGTTGGCCAGGCTGGTCTTGAACCCCTGACCTCAAGTGATCCGCCTGCCTTGGCCTTCCAAAGTGCTGGGATTACAGACATGAGCCACCACGCCTGGCCTCCTACCTTTATTTATTTATTTGTTTATTTTTTATTTTTTAAAAAAGAGATGGAGTGATACTATGTTGCTCAGGCTGGTCCTGAACTCCTGGGCTCCAGAGAAGCTGGGATTACAGGCTTACACTATACGCCTGTGCAAATATTTCAAATGAGTTAAAATCCAAGTTGAGCTTGAAATACAAAGGAGCAACCATGTCTTTTTATAAATTCATCAAATCACCTATGAAGTGTTAGCAATACAACTATTAAGACTGGCCATCAATCAAACCAACAGATCAACAATATGCCTGCTAAAGCAGTCACTGATATACAACGCCTTTGAACTTGACAAATGTAAAGACGTTACAACTATAAGGAACAGGAGTTGATACTTTGGTATGAGCTAATATAGCTTCACCCAGTCCTGAACATTTACCAATGAAAACATGGGAAGCTATATCTTAACTTTCTAGATTGTAAAACACCAGTAAATCCATACCTCAAAAGGCTGCTAATGGAGTTAAAAATACGTATTTTTTTTCAGAGCTGGCGCACGTGCACACATGGTGGGAACTACCATTGCTTTTAAAAGTGAAGTGATTAATCTCGCTTCACTTCCCTTTTTCCTCACCTATAGCCTTTCTTCCTTTAAGTCCTGGCAAGTTCTCTGAACTCATTATGCTCTCCCATGCCTCTTTATGTTGTGTCTCTTGCCTGGAACACTTTTCTCTTCTTTCTCTGGCCAACTCTTACTTGTATTTCAGTGTCAAATAGCAGTTCCTCCAGAAAAATCTTCCCTGAAGCTCCCTCCTCCCTTTAGGCTAAGTTACATTACTCTCCTTACTCTTTCCCAAAGAAACTAGTGCCTAACTTGCTCTTAACTCTTGCCAAAAGACATTGTAAATATCTGTTTGTTTGACTTTTGCTCCCATTAGGCCAAGAGTTGTTACCCGAAGGCCCACTTTCAAATGCTCAGAATTAGCACTGACCCTGAAGCATAATATGAATTAATAAATGACAGGTAAATGGATGAATAAAGCCCTATCAGTGGAGCAGGTCTACTGACTAGTCAAGAAGAGCACATTATCAAGCTTCCTGTTCTTTTCAAATTTAGTTTTATTTTTATAGAGACAGGGTTTCGCTATTATTGCCCAGGCTGGTCTCAAACTCCCGGGCTCAAGTGATCCTCCTGCCTCGGCCTCCCAAAGTGCTGGGATTATAGGTGTGAGCCACTGTGCCTGGCCAATTTCTTTTTTCTTTTTTTGAGACAGGGTCTAACTCTGTAGCCCAGACTGGAGTTCAGCGGCACGATCACTCCTGAACTCAAGTAATCCTCCCACCTCAGCTCTCTGAGTAGCTGGGACTACAGGTACATCACCAGGCCTGGCGGATTCTTTTTTATTTTTTGTAACAATTAAATAATAAATAAAAATCTCACTGTGTTGCCTAGGCTAGTCTTGAACTCCTGGACTGGAGTGATCTTCCCACCTCAGCCTCTCAAAGTATTGGGATTACGGATGTAAGCCACCATGCCTCGCCCCTGTTCTCTCAACTGGCCCCTGTTCTCTCAACAGGAAAGGACCTGCAGGCAGCTTTCCTCAAGATGGTCACTGGGATCAGCGGACCAGTCAGAGACCAGGAACAAAGAAC